GTATGCGTTATCTATGATGGTGAAAAGGGATCAGAATATTGATGACTTTTATGAACTTTACTGTACTTTTGTCAGATATCGATGAATGCTCAGATGATTCACATAATTGTCATGTCGATGGTATCTGCACCAATACAAATGGCTCGTTTTATTGCGCGTGCCAAGTGGGTTATACCGGCGATGGAGTCAACTGCACAGGTAACAAGAACTCATCAAAGTTGCACAAAATACTTTGCAAATTGATTCAAATCAAATCAATAGTTTATTGACACTCCCCTGATGGGGCTTTTCAGTGACAATACAAGAGAAGTAAACTTATTAAGTTCGTTTCCCTGCTGTTAGCTAATAGACCTTCTCCGTTTATTTTGTTTTGTAGTTTGGTGTTTGTTTACGAGACCGTCTCGTAATGCTCATGTTGTATTTAAGGCTGTTTGCTATCCTTGTGTAGCAAAACTGACCACACTGCTTTTCACAAACAATTCTGCTTCAGTAATTATTAAGTGAAAAAATTAGATTATCTGATATAGAAGAAAGGATTAAAAGAGCATAAGATAAGCCCAATGTGAAAAGACGTGATGAGATAAGAGGTGACCACATCAAATAAGATGAGATGCGTAAGATAAGCTTATAGACTAAGGTTGTTATCACTTTTAACTGGAAGAGTTTTGTGTACTAGAAAGAAATTGAGTGACGCGATACGTTTCAAGTTTTCTTCTGATATACACCATTCAGCTGGCTTGACTGGAGCTCGATTGAAACAGAAACTGAGTGTCAAACAAAACAGAAAGAAACTACTAGTGTTCCACTGGGACAATTCAACGAAATCAACCGAGCTTTCGATGAGATGACTTACATTGTAAAAGACGTTTTCGTCCGAAATATGACCATAAGTTTTGTTTTTATCTCCATAGACGTGGACGAGTGCAGCCTGGGCACCCATAGCTGCGATGAACATGCTACTTGTACCAACACAAAAGGATCGTTCACTTGTCGTTGTAATCCTGGTTATCATGGCACAGGATATAACTGTACTGGTGAGGCACCTCAGTGTAGACTTTGTTGCCACAGCACTTTGTATGAACATGCATGAATGAAACTGCAATGTGTTTTCCGTTTGCTCATATTCCTTTAGATACTGATGAATGTGAAGTTGAGATGGATAACTGTCATGCAGATTCCTTCTGTACCAATACCGATGGATCGTTTAATTGCACCTGTTTGGTTGGCTACTCTGGTGATGGTGTCAGTTGCACAGGTAAGCTTAAGACTGCCTAGAGTCAATTAAGTACTAAGGTATACCTAACATTCATTTGTAAGAAAAATGATTTGTAAGAACAAAAGAAATTAGGTAGATCTTGAACGTAGATCTTTTCTATCTATTTATATATACACTGACAGCTAACAGACCGCAAAGAACAGTTTTATTTTATTCGGCAATTGACAAATTAGTCGCAAAAACTGTCTGCAAATCATTTTTTTTTTAATATATTAACTTCAAAATCATTCCTGAAAACTGACAGGCGGCTTGAATTTATTAACTGACTGAGAAAAGAGTGTTTCAAGTTCGATATAATAAGTGATATGTGGCTTAATTTTCAAGAGATCACGTAAAAAATAGTCCAGGTTTTTCCGTTCAAATAACCCTCGAACTTTATGTTTCAGATATCAACGAATGTGAAACAGGAACACATAACTGCAGCTGGGGCGCGGATTGCTTCAACAATAAAGGATCCTTCTATTGCACTTGTTCTCCAGGATTTTCTGGAGACGGTTTCCGTTGCTCAGGTTAGAAACTTCCGTAAATGTCTTTAATTTTATCATTTTACCAATTTCATGAACCTAAAAAAAAAGACAAGAAATAGAAAAGAAATAGATGAGAAAGAACACACATTAGTTGACCGACCTTAAGGAATGCAAAGTGCACTCGCAAGCCATTTATTTACTCAGCGAAAACGATTCCGGAGAGATGTCTGGAAGACTAAACGCCTTTTTTACTGACAAGGAAGACGGAATTAATAAAACTTTCATTACTTGGCATTTCACAAGCAGTTGTACAAGTTTTACTGGCAAGCGTTTATATTATTTCCTTCTTAGTTATTTTGTTCCTGCACTACATGCTATTGTCTAATTCTTCATTAGGACTGAAATCTTAATGTTACCCTGTATATGTGACTGGGTTTTAGATAACAACGAATGCTCGATGGGAACTCACAATTGCCATGATGTCGCTGAATGTACGAACACCAATGGTTCGTTTTATTGCAACTGCACTCCCGGCTTCGCTGGAAATGGAACATATTGTCAAGGTATCCGAAATGTTGCCACTGACATTTTGTGCAGTGAAAATTATCATTCATTTAATTTTCTTTAGTTTGTTTCTAACAACCGTTTTTTAAACATTTATTAACCCCTAAATTAAAGCGAATATGGTCGGAAATGTTTTTCTGGAACAGTTCAACCAAATCAGCTCCTTGATGTCAGTTTTTAAAGTCCAACCGATCCAACCGAAAAGTCTTTCCCCGCAGAATACTGAAAGCCCAACGAACCTAAATCGATTGATTTCAATGAAACACGGCCGAAAATTATATATATTTTATTCCAGAACTTACACTTTGCTTCCTGCTTTATCAGGGCGTGTATTTCTATTAATTACTTTCTAATTGTTCTTCAAGCACCAACCATTTGTTTGCTGTTTCATTCTATGTTAAAGATTGGGACGAGTGCTTAACTGGGACAGATGACTGTAATGGAACTTCAACGTGTAACAACACATATGGCAGCTTCCAATGCGTGTGTCAACCAGGATACCGCTACAATGGATCCGACTGCTTTGGTATGCAACAGAACATGCTTGACAGCTAGTCAAACGTACGCATCGGATTGTTTCGTGCATAAATCTTCCTTACCGAGATTAAAAATATCCTAATTGAAAACATTTTATAAATCTAAGTCTGGCGGTTTTCAATTTTCACTTACTTGAGTAGTTTTAATTTTAATTTTAGTCGGCTTCTGTTTAAGTTCAATCAATTATCTTATGAACTTGTTAAGTTGGTTTCAAATGTTAAAAGCAGAATTAATGGGCATTTCCATGTATCCAACATGATTGTCAAGACTAAAAGTTCATTAAATGTAAAAGTTGTTAAAAGAATTAAAATTCCTATGTGCGCGATATTATGCAAATGTCTTATCATCAGCAACTAACGTCAAGCGAATCCAGTCTGATTGCACGTTATTTTTTTCACGCATTTGTTTTTCAGCAATTCATAGATAATGCAGTCAAGTTTATAACGGTTTCTTCATTTTTATTTACACGTATTAATCTATCTACTTATTATTATATATTTTTTTAATGTTCAGATATAAACGAATGCAAAGAGAAGATGCATAACTGTCACAAGATGTACGGTGTCTGCACCAATCTTATGCCTTTCTTTCAGTGTACGTGTGCACTGGGCTTCAAAGGGAATGGTACTCATTGCATTGGTAAGTTACTTTGCGCTTTGTTTTAAGTAACTGTTTCTAGCTAACGAAACATCGATGAGCTGAGTTTAAAAAACATTTCACTGCAACTTTGAAGAGACATCAAAAAAGTTGGTGCAGACGTCACTTAAAATCGATCCCATCCATTTTCTTGATCCGGGGCTAGGAGTGTGTGCAGTCTAACCGTCGTTCAAGCTAACAAACTCTACATATGATTTCAGCAACTAACCTCTAACTTGTGTTATCATATTACAGCACTAGATCTGGTTTACATGATTGACTTAAAGCTTCCAACAAGCAGATGGCGTGAGGAATATCGAATGTCCAACTCCTCACAATTCCAAACCCTTGCCTTGGAAATAGAACAAGGGGTATTATTTTCGTTTTATTTTTTGTTTTATTTAGTGAGAGAATTATTCAACTTTTCATATTGCGTCTTGACTTAGACATTATCACCAGGAGTAAACAGCTAGTCAAATAGATCCCCTGTTACAGCTGTATCGCTATTCACGTTCCACTTTTCTTCGCTGTACCTCGGTTCTGGGAGCACATGAATTGTCTTCAAGAAGAGTTTTTCGCAAGCGTGACAAAATCGAACTGAGGTGAAATTACTGACTAATAAAGGAGATTGCAACGAGGGGGGAAAGGGGGAGTGTGGTACACGCCACTTTGCGTAAAGTAGTTAGTTGAAGGTGAGGCACGAAGATTGTATCGGGACAATCTTCCAACTGGTCAGCATCTTTTTAACGTGTTAGTCCTTTATCTGGAATAAACAGAGACCACCAAGACTGTTAACTGATGAACATTGCAACTCTTTCAGGTAAGGTACGTCTACAGAGATGACCCTTCGTTCTTACGGACATACGTTGTGGGTCTTCATAACAGGTATAAATAATATTATGTAATCATCTTCTGGAAAGGAGACGAACGTAAACCATCCAGAAAGTCGCTACTTAACCTTAGCCAGTTACCTGAAATTATAGCTACTCAATACGTACAGAGGGCCACACGCAATCCTGGTCAATGGTCTTCGGACGTGAGACACTTTCTTCTTTCCACCGAACGTTCATGGTACAGCACAATTGTATTTAGCAAATGACTTGGCGGACGTAGCCTATGCTGCACTCAAAGGAGCGAAGAGAATGAGTGTTAGTGACTTAGCGGATAGTTACCTAA